GCAGCGCCGGCGCGAGCTCTCGGAAGCCAAGGAGGCGCAGCCAGGGGAGGTTGCCTTCTTCTTGCCGTCTCCACCTCAGACAGAAGGAGGCGGAGGAGAGGGGAGGCAAGAGGGATCAGGAGTTCAAGGCTCTCGCTTCGCTCCCTGGGGCCCTCCGCCGCCCGTCAGAGAGCCCGTGCTCGTGAGGTGGGTACGGTAGGTTCGCCTTCTTGTCGCCGTGGCGGCGACTCTGCCGCGGGCGTTCAAGGTTGAACGCTGCCAGTGGCCCAGAATCGGCCGAAATGGAACGGTCTGGCAATCAAAAAGCCGCTGTTCGTTCGAGGGTGGGCGATCCGCGCGGCGGTGTCAGAGACCAAGGTCGTCACGACACGAACTTGCCGCACGTCCCCCCCCCACCACCACCACGCTGCGGCGCGCGCGCGCCGGCGCGGCTGCGGGCTGACGAGGGACCATTGCACGTCCTCAGGGGTGCGGAGGAAGCCAGGGAGGGCGGGGGGCGTCGGCAGGCGGGTGTCCTCGGGCGGCCTCCTCCTCCTCCTTCTCCTCCTCCTCCTCCTCCTCCTCCTCCTCCTCCTCCTCCTCCTCCTCCTTTTTCTCCTCCTCCTCCTGCTCCTCCTCCTCCTCATCATCATCATTCTTCCCCCTCGCCATTCTTGGGAAGGGAGGAGGAGGTGGAGAGAGGAGGAGTAGGAGGAGGATCACAATGTCTGGCTCTCCTCAGATAACGCAGTGATGGCTGACATCTTGGAATCCCCCTCGTCGCACTCATATAGTATTTTTGCGGCTGTCACAATGTGTATGGTCATCCGCCTCTCCTCCATGGCGGAGTGCTCAACATGTTGCTCTCACCGTAGCGCCGCGCGCATTTGCGTTTAAGTTTCCAGCAGTTGCATGGACGCAGGGCCAATGTCTTTCGTTGTCCTGGTTTGAGCGTCACGCACATTCACCATAAACGTGTTCCAGCCATGCAGATGGAGAGCGGGTTTTCTCAACATGCTGTTATCGTTTCAGTGCCGCGCAAATTCGTCATGAAACCTTGCAACCGTTACGCGAATGGAGGGCGGGCCGTGTTCAAAAATGGCTTCCGCCTTTAAACCCGCACATCGTTCTAGGGGGTTCAACCGTTATACGGGTGGAGGGCAGTCCCTGTGTTTAATGAGAGTTCGACTTGAAACGTCCTCCCATGTCACAACCAAAAGTGCAACGTTGTACCACAGCTGCACAGATGTAGGGCGAATCCATATCCACAGGTGGCTCTCGCCTGTTACGTCTTCAAACATAATGACCAGAGGCAGGGCGGCTCTCTTTCAAAACGGGGCTCTCTCCGTACACGTCATCGGGTGGTACGATCCTGTCTCTTCGTAGTTTGAAGACCTTACGGCCGGTGCCGTCGACCCTGAAGGGGGAGCCCGAGGCGTCTGGGAGGCACGGAATTGAAGGGGAAAGCTTCTCACAGGGAGTGGTGCTCCCCCCCTGGGAGGGGGGGTTCACAACCCCCGATACCACCCTAGGACCACCACCCCCGGGCGGGGAAGGAGTCAAAGGGAAGGAACTACCCTCCGGCTCGATTACGACGCTGTTCGATGTCTCTTTGGCTGAGACGTTTGAAGAGGAGGGCCCACGAACAGGGACAGGAAGGGAGGAGTTGTGACGGCGACAACGTCGACGACGACGACGACGACGACGAGACGACTCGAACGGAAAAGCCTTTCACACACGCCGACAGTGTCGGCGGATTTCTTGTTGCTTGAGTGATAAAAGGCGGCTCCTTTTCCAAACGCGGCTCTCGCCTGACTGGCAGGCACATGGGGCGTTCGTTTGTCAAGGAGGCGCGTCCCACAGTTACAATGAATGTGCGTAGGGGCGTGGCGAGAAAGGAATGTTACTCTTGTCCTCCGCCTTCTCCTCGTCTCACCTTCCTCATCATGATCATGGCCATCAGCAGCAGCAGCAGCAGCAGCATCATCATCATCATCAGCATCATCATCATCCTGTCATCGCCTGGTAATCGTCCTAGCCTATCCCCCCCTATTGTCATATGATCCTCACATCCTCCTGCCATCGTCCCATCCTCCCTGCTCCTGTCCTGTTAGTCTCCTCCCCCTCCCCACGCATGTTCCTGCCAGGACCTCCGGCCTACCTTTCCATCGCACGGTCGGGGCATCCTCACAGGAAGCATGCTTGGTGCGGAAGGGGGTCGGCGTTGCTAAGGTATCCCCGCGGGGCCTTGGCAGAACATCCCAGCTCGCCGTTGGAAAGCGTGGGCATCGTGTGCTACTGCTGACACAGGGGTTAAGAATGACCCCAGCTTTGGGAGGAGTGCGAACCTGGGGAGCCGACATAACTGCTGGCTGATACAGGGGGTCACAGAATCAAGCCATTATGTTCCCGCTTCTCATCCTCCCTTTCTTGGTCAAGCCACGGGCGCACCTTTCCTCCAGCCGCTCATCCTCGAACCTCGTGCTTCTCCTCGTGCTCATCTGTCTTTGCAGCCATGCCGCGTGAGAGGCTCTCTCCTGCCCCTCCTCCTCACCATCATCATCCTCCTCATCACCATCATCAACATCATTATCATCATCGTCATCTCGCCCTTGTGGGGATCGCGCCCAGCGGCGGCTTGTCCTTGCTGGTGGTATACCCCCACTCAGATGCCTTTAGTTTGTTCGGTTCGCCTCGCTCTCAAACCAGAGGCACGCATGAGCTAGAGCAGAACAGACTCCTCCGTCCGTCCAACTCCCCCCTTCCTCCTCCGTTCCTCCTCTTGCCGGAGGTGCCCAGCTCCTCCTCCCACTCCCCTCATCCCCCTTACGGCGAGTCTGATCAGGTGAGCGGCCCTGGTCGCCCCGCGCAGGCCGCGGTCTGGCCCGCCCGCTCCTCGAGACGATCTGGGACACTCCGCGCGTCGTTCGCGGGTTCCCCTCGTCCTCCCACCCCCGTCCGCCCCGCCGAGAAGCACCCTGCTTGCCTCCAGGGTGCCCTGGGCTTCTTGGGCTTTGATGGGTTTGCTATGGAACGCGTGACGTTCCCACGCCAAAGATCAATGGAGGTCCTGGGGCTCCAGAGTCGAGCTTCTTCTGGAAGGTCTCTTGTGGTCGGGCCCCTGCTGCATTCGGGGCCTCCCGACGCGCGCGCGCCGCGGTGGCCGCTCAAAGACAGCTCGCCGGCGCCGATGCGGGAGGGCCCTCCTCCTGCCAGGGGTGCCCAGACCCTCCGACGCCGCGCCTCCCTTCACGGCCCGGGCCCCCAGAGGTCAGACCCCCCCTCGCATTCTCGGCGCGCTCCCCTCGGCGGCGCGCCGAGGAGGAGGAGGAGGAGGAGGAGGAGGAGGAGGAGGAGGAGGGAGAGGAGGAGGAGGAGGAGGAGGAGGAGGAGGAGGAGGATGGGGAGGCTTCAAGGCAGCCCTCTGAAGGCCCGAGGGGAAAGCACGGCGTCTGGAGGCCAGGGCAAGATGTTGCCGTGGCTTCCCGCCTTGGCGGAGGCGCCCCTTTAGTGCCGATGCCGCTGCACTGCTCCAGCGCTCAGACGAGAAGCGGGTCGGGGCCAGGGAGCCCCTCTGAGGAGGGGGATGGAGACAAGGAGGGAGAATGAGGGACCACGGTGACTCCGCCCACGACGACCACTCCCACCCTTTTTTTTTGTTCTTCCTCCCTCTCCTCCTCCGCCTCCTCCTCCTCCTCCTTCTCCTCCTCCTCCTCAGCCTCCTCCTCATCCTCCTCTTCCTCCTCCTCCTCTTCCTCCTCCTCCTTCTCCTCATCCTCCTCCTCCTCCTCTCCTCCTCCCCCTCCTCCTCCTCCTCCTCCTCCTCCTCCTCCTCCTCCTCCTCCTCCTCCCCCTCCTGCTTCACCTCCTCCTCTTCCTCCTCCTCCTTCTCCTCTTCCTCCTCCTCCCTCCTCTTCGTTCTCCTCCTCCTCCTCCTCTTCATCATCCTCCGCCTCCTCCTCCTTCTCCTCATCCTCATCCTCATCCTCATCCTCATCCTCCCCCTCCTCTTCCTCCTCCTCCTCCTCCTCCTCCTCCTCCTCCTCCCCTTCCTCCTCCTCCGCCTCCTCCTCATCCTCATCCTCCTCCTCCTCCTCTTCCTCTTCCTCATCTGCCTCCTCCTCATCCTCATCCTCCACCTATTCCTCCTACTCCGAGGGAGGGAGGGAGGGAGGGAGGGGAGGGAGGGAGGGAGGGAGGAAGGGGGAGGGAGGAGGGTCGGGCCGGACGAAGGCATACCTTAAGCGCCGTGCTTTAAGACGTCTTGGTGAGAGTGCGCGGTCGGTGGCGCATTGGACCGCAAGGGGATCCACCACTCGCGCCACCACCACACAGGGCCCTGGAACCAAAAGGACAGAAACTATTGAACAGATGAATAGGGGGCCACCCAGCCAGAGACCAGGGAAGGCCAGCCCCTAATTGGAAGACAGGCTGGGGTCGAAAAATCCAACAGCACGCACAACCCAGATAAGCTGAAATTCAAAAGTTCAACAACGCATACTGCAAAATTGGCGTTGGCACTCGCCTGAGCGGCTAGTCGAGCGCTGCGCAGAGGGGGGAGGGGGGAGACCGCACTGGAAGAAGAGCAGGCTGACAGCCCCGAAGTGGATATACAGATGTGGGCACGGTGCCAGAGAGGATGCAGCTACAACTAGGAACATATTACCGCAAGGTGCCGCGGTACATGAGCTCCACACGCACACTCATTGACAGCGAGAGTGCGCCCCCTGGGCGGGGCAAAGAGTACGAAGAGACAAACGGCAAGAGAGAGAGAGAGGCACGAAGCGCCAGCAAGGCGACTGAGGGCGACCCACAACGAAAGAATCCAAATGCATGGGAGAACACGGTTCCGCACAACACATGTCCAAATGAGGGCCTAGTCAACGCGCATAGAGCCAGGTTCAGACATTGTACAAGAGTCAACGCAGGGCGCGACGAAACCGACGTCACGGGAGACCGAATGGGCGCGACCCACGACGAGAGAGTTTGGACAGGCTTACAACCGAGCAGCCGAGCCCAGACCAGTAGAGAGAGAGAGAGAGAGGGAGAGACAGAGAGAGAGAGGGAGAGAGAGAGAGAGAGAGAGAGAGAGCGAGACCTAAGAAGCGACGCATTCCTGAACTCCCAGAACGACGCCAGGGTAAGAAGCAGATCTGCGGGCAAACCACGAGCTCCAGAGGCCCGATGATTTGGAGCAAAGCGTACCGAATCCAGCAAGCCTTGCACATGAAGCCCTTGGCCTCTTCGATTCGGCGGCTACCGCGCCATCTGGCGTCGCGGGTGCAATTGCCACAATGCGAACAGGCAGGGAGGCGAGATAGGCATGCATGTGACGCGTTGAAAAGTTCCGCTGCCGGTGCGCATCATTGGTCAAACTTGCTTCTGACGAAGCCTTCCATGCTGGTAGGGAGGGTTCGTCCTGGCTCGCCTAGGCCTACTGGCCCTTCAGAAGGGGCCGAAAAGAGGCAGCAGAAGAAGAATTCGCGCAAGCAGGCAAATCGAGGCGTTCCTCAGGCGGCAAGGCACCGTATTTAACAGCCTCCACATAATCGAGTCCTGCCGCACGAGCGGCCGCGCAGGCGCTGATGTCCCCTTTCTCACGGGGTCGGTGCGCCCAAACATTGTCGTAATGGCTCTGCGGTAGCCAGTGAAGATCTTTGCTTGACGGGCCTCGAGTGGGCACTGAAGAAGGGGTTGGTGAGCAACTGTCTCTTTCGGCCCTGCCAGGGCTGCGAGGAGGACATTTCTGCAGAAAGGGAGCAGGCGCTTCGAGGGCCCAAAATGGTCACGGCGAGGCGAGCGGGAGCGCGATGAGGGGGGGCCGACGGACAGGCGGCGGAAACGACCCAGCACGAGGCTCGTTGGGGGTCCGATGGGCGGCGCGAGCAATATTACGGAGCGAACGGGCACGAGGTCTGATGTGAGCCCGATGGTTGTCGGAGCTAACTATGCGCGGCAACTTGAACTGGCGCAGGATGACGATCCCCCTCTTCTCGAAAGTCCTTCCAGATCCGTGTCGCCCAGCGGCTGAGCATCTGCGGCTCTTGATGTAACGCAGCGCCTGGAAGATATGGACCCGACGCGCCCACCGTTTTCGCGCAGCACCCAGATGGCACTCAAAAGTCGAACTGCCCTGGGGGCGGAAACAACGGCCATGGAGGAAGCCAACTCGACGTAGGAGAAGGTGGCGTGGCCAGCTGTTATTGAGGTGCGAGCGGCAGACTGGCGTCTGGGAATGCGGACCGCCAAGCTGGACGACGACGAGAAAATGCATTCCAACGCCCAGAACTTTCAGCAGGAAGGCTTCGCGCAGGAGGGCTCCGAGGCTGCGGCCAGCATCGACTCGGCTGGCATCGTGAACGTGCTTCCGATGGCTATCACCGCGGCGATGCCTCAGCGTGAGGCGTTGACGCAGGCAACGGTCATGAAGACTTCGCTTAGCATCAGCTTCGCTATGGGCCAGCCGCGCACCTGCGATGACCAGCAGCGCTGCGGCGAGGACCAGCAGCACGCCTCCTGCGACCAGGATCGCGCTGGCGGCGGCCCGCGGCGCGTCGGCGGGGACCAGCAGCACGCCGGCCACGACCAACAGCACGCCGGCGACGACGAGGAGAGCGCCCGCGGCGACCCGCAGCACGCCTTCGAGGACCAGCCGCACGCCGGCGAGGACCAGCAGCGCGCCTCCTGCGACCAGGAGCGGGCCTGCGGCGACCGGCAGCACGCCGACTGGTACCAGCAGCACGCCGGCGACGGCCAGCGGCATGCCGGCGACGACGAGAGCGCCTGCGGCGACTCGCAGCACGCGCGCGACGACCAGCCGCACGCTGGCGAGGACCAGCAGCGCGCCTCCTGCGACCAGGAGCGGGCCTGCGGCGACCTGCAGCACGCCGACAGGGACCAGGAGCACGCCGGCGACGGCCAGCGGCACGCCGGCAACGACGAGGAGAGCGCCTGCGGCGATTCGCAGCCCTCGCGCGACGACCAGCCGCGCGCCGGCGAGGAGCTCGCCGGCTGGGACCACCAGCGCACTGGCAGCGACCAGCAGCACGCCAGCGACGACCAGTGGCACACCTGCGACGAGCCGTCGGAGCCTTCGACTCCGCCTCCGTCCTCGCCTCCGCCGTCGACTTCGACGCCTCCGCCACCACCGACCTCGGCTCCTACGAGGTCTCCCTATGGCTGGGCGGCCGTCTGCCCACGGCGCAGCGCAGCCTACATTGAGGTACTGGGGGAGGTGCGGGCCCTGGCATCGGGCGGCATGGCCCTCGACGACGTTCACTTCCACCTCAAGGCCGAGGTGCAGCGACATCACCAGCGGGGCATTGCCAGGCGCTGCCGCGAGGCGAGGCTGCTTGGGCAGGCGCCCGCGCAGGCGGCCCACTCGGTGGAGCAGCTCAGGGCAGCGGCGGGAGCGCAGTCCCAGGCGAGGGGACCGCGGCCGAGCTCGGACGGTGGGCTGCCACAGGATATGGCCAAGTCTTGTGGCCCAGGGCCTGGCGCGGCCTAATGTGGTCATGAGCTGGGGCGGCTGCCATGTGTATATAATACTACGCGCTGTGCGGGTGGCATTGCGAGGCGCCTGGGATGCCCCACCGAGTCGAGGCTGGGCCGGGCTCGTCAGGCCCCTCGCTGCTTCTTCCTGCATGGCTGGCGGGCCTCGCCGTGCAGCTCCGGCGGCAGGGTTGCGGCCTCATCTCGGGGCTCTTCTTCCTCACCATCTTCATTGGAGTCTTCGTGGTTTTTGGGCAGCTTTCGTCGCGCTGTTTCTCGTGCATATGGTGGAGCTCGCGTCATATTGCTTAATCATGGGATTGGCACGGCGCTTTCTTCGTGGTCTTCTACCTCAACTGGAGTTGGGTACTGCTTCATCCTCCTCGTGGAGAGTCAATGTTTGACCAGGGCCTCGTGGTGGTCACGTGGAGTTCCCTCGCGCTGCGGTCGTGCGTCCGGGATGCGCGCAGAAGGTGTTGATGCTGGTGGTCCTCTGCTTCGTGATGGCTGGCGTGTGGTCCCCCGTGGTGGTCTCTAGCGGCGTTATTCTGTGGAGAATTCTGATCATTCGTCCCAGTTTTGCTCGAGTTTTGAGGCGAGGCTGCGTCGCCGCAGTTCGTTTCTTGTCGCGTTGCCTCTTGTCGTCTTGTCTCGTCGTTCTGTCGCCTCCTCTTTCGTTTCCTGTCCTCCCGCGTTGTCGTTTCTGCGCTGTTGGCTTCGTCGTTGCTTCCCCCTCGGCCTCGTCTTCCTCCTCTTCTCCCTCGGTCCTTCGTCGCCCTCCCAACTTTTTTGTTTAAGAAAAGTGCCCGAAGAAGGCGAAGCGGGCGTGGACTTCCGCAAAGGCGGTGGCGGCGGCGGCCTGGCCGCAGTGGCGGAAGGGGGCAGCAGCGGCCGCCAAGACGCCATTTCGCGGTCAGTGGTCATTTGTGGCAAGCAGGTGGTGCGCTTGGGCCCGTGCCAGAACGAAACGTGCGCTGAAAGGGGGCAACACTGTTGCGGCTACAGTCCGGGCTTGGGAGGAGGGTGGGAGGAGGAAGGGATGGAGAGAGAGGGAGAGAGGTAGAGAAGGAGGGAGAGATAGGTAGAGATAGGGGGGGAGGGAAGGAGAGGAAGAGAGGGAGGGCGGTAGAGGGAGGGAGGGAGGGAGGGAGGAAGCAAGGGAGGAGGAGGAGGAGGAGGAAGAGGAATAGGAGGAGGACGAGGGGGCTGAGGGGGCAGAGGGAGCGAGGGGGAGGAGCAGCATGACGAGGCGGCAGGAGGAGCAGCACCTCAAGCTCTTTGCTCCCCGTGGCCTCCGCGCGGCCGCTCTCTGGCCCGAGCTTGGCCTCCGGCCGTTCGGCCGCCGCGGCGCGGCCGCCCGGGCACCCCGCAATGGCCGCCCTCGCGCGCGCCTCGGTGCTGCTGGCGGCGTTGCTGCCCGACTCCACGAGGGCTGGCGCGCCAGCCGCGGGGGAGCTGCTGGCCGAGAAGGACGGCGGCGCCGTCGCCGCCGCCGCCGCCGTCGCCGCTGCGGCCGCCGCCGCCGCCGCCTCCCTCGTCGGCGTCGGCCGTGTCGGCCGACGCGGCGGCGTCGTCGGCGGTGGCCTCGGCAGCAGCGGCGTCGGCTCTCGTGGTCGGCGCCGTCGTCATCGTTAGCGATTTCCTTCGACGGCGGCGTCCGTGCCGGCGACGGCGTCGGCCGTCGTCGTCTGCATCGCGGCCGCCGCAGGACGGTGGCGAGTGCGCCGCCGCCATGCGGGTGGAGCTCCTGCAGAGGTCCACCGCCACCGTCGTGCAGGCGGACGTTGGCGGCACGCACGAGTGAGCAGGGACAGAGGAGCCACAATTGTGGGAGTCGTGGTCCTGACCCCCTTGGGGGGCCCATCGACTTTGACATCCCTGTCGAAACGCCGTCGTCACGACGAGTTCCCCCAGCTGTGGCGGGTCGAAGGGAGAGGGGGAGGGAGGCGCCTTCCAAGAATGTCCCCAGGGTAAGGAACACAGCTCCCCCAGTTGCGACTAGTCGGAGGGGGGAGGGGAGGGGGCGCCTTCCAAGAGTGCCCCCAGGGCGAGGGCAGGTGGACGAGGGGCGAGGGCACGGGAGAGCAGGCCAGGCGGGGGCGCTGGGGCGAGGGCAAGGGGGGCGGCCTTCGCAGAGCCGACGGCCAGGAAGCGGCACCAGCACATCCACGTGCAAGTTGTCGGAGCTGCGGGCGGATCTCTTCGGTTGGCGCCGGAGCTGCCCACCCCGCCCAGCGCTCCACGCGCCAGGAAAGGGGGTGCGGTGAGGGGGGCCCGGCGCCCGCCCGGGAGCTCCGCGCGGAGCTCCCAAGATGCCCTGCCCGTGCAGTGGCTCCGCGGTTCGGCCCCCGCCCCCGGGAGGTGGCGCTGCGGACGTGCGGTTCTCCGGGGGCGGAGCCCGCGTCGGGAGACCCGTGCCCGCTCCGAAGGCCGCCCCCCTCGCCGTGCGCCCCCGTCGGCGCGCTGCCAAGGACTCGAGCTCGGGCAGGGGAGCCGCCGGGACCTCCCCCGGCGAGAGCTGCGCCAAGGTCCGGGAGGCCCTCGGCACGACGCAGCAGGCGATCTTCGCGGACATGGCCGACGGCGACAAGAAGCTCGTGGCGTTCTCGGGGTCCACGATGACGATCACTCCCAGTGGCAGCGACGAGAGCTGGATCGTGAGCGCCGACCTGGACCTCGAATTCTGCACCGCCAGCGTCGATTTCAACGTGCCCGGCAAGCCGAATCCCCCATCAGTCGCGCTCCTTGCTACTCTATGGGGCCAAACGGCGCGGGGACCCACCGGGCAGCTGTGGAAGCTACTCGTCGAGTTCACCGACCCCAGCGGCACTCTGGCAGATGCAGGCCTCCCCCTCAACCACTGGGTGCAGTTTGGAGCCGCCGCGCCCTGGTCGTGATGTGGGCATCCCATGACGTGCATGGTTCGGCGGCGAGCGAGGAAGGGAGGGAAGTGAGAAGGAGAAGGCCTTCTCGGGACTTCTCAGAAGGCCTCCGCCCTTCTGAGAGGTCATCTGTATCTTCGGGAAGGCTCGGGGAACCCCCCTCAGAAGGCCCGGGGACTTCCAAGCCTTCTGAGAAGCCCCGCCCCTCCTCCTCCTCCTCCTCCTCCTCCTCCTCCTCCTCCTCCTCATCATCATCATCATCAGCAGCAGCAGCATCATCATCAGCGTCATCCTCATCCTCCTCCTCCTCCTCCTCCTCCTCCTCCTCCTCCTCCTCCTCCTCCTTCTCCTCCTAGCTTCCGAGCTTCCCCCCTGCGCTCGCCGCCGAGTGGTCGTGCCTGGCAGTGCGATGGAAGAGGCTGGACGGCAGAGACGCGGGGCCGTGCGCGGCGGGCGCTCTCGGCTCCCGCGCGCGTCCCTCTCCGACGGGTCCTCCGCCGGAGGAGCGGCAGCGGCGCGGCCGCGCCCCCTCCGCTCGAGCGCGGCGAGCAGCGGGAGGCGGAGGAGGAGGAGGAGGAGGAGGAAGAGGAGGAGGAGGAGGAGGAGGAGGAGGAGGAGGAGGAGGGGGAGGGGAGGAGGAGGAGGAGGAGGAGGAGGAGGAGGAGGAGGAGGAGGAGAAGGAGGAGGAGGAGGAAGAGGGGGAGGAGGAGGACGAAGGGAGGCGCGCGCGTGCCGCCGAACGGAGTCGGACCTGTCGCCCCGCAACCCGTCTGGACTTCTCCCGAGGGGCTCTCGGGCAGCCCTGGGCAGAAAAGAGAGCTCGTGCGGCGCTCTGCCGAGACCCCCCCTGCACCTTGCAAAGGCGCCGCGCGCAGCACGTCGCTGCCGGGCGGGCGGCAGGCCGAGAATGCGAAGAAGTCGCCCCAGAGAGTTAGAAAGAGCACTCTCGGAACGTCCTGGGTCGCTCTGGAACGGCGGGTACCTCCTTCCCGCCCGCCAGCTGAGATCCCCGCGGTATCCGTACCCGATGTTGTTCGCATGTTACTTTGGCCTTAGGCAGCGCACCCACCAGCGCCGCGCACAGCTCGAAGCACGTCGTCACGCGTCGGCTCGCGCCGTTGTCGCTGATTTGATTACCCTTCCTCACCCCGCGATGTCGCATGCTTCTTGCCCAACCCTTCTTCACCGTCCGCGCCGCTGCATCTCATCCTGGTCTTTATCGGTATTCCTCCCCCTCTGACCTCTTCTTCCTCCTTCGCATCCTCCTCCTCGCCATCATCTTCATCCGTCCTCCTCTTCCTCCCCATCCTCTTCCTCCTCGCTCCTATCAGTTTTGGGAAGGCAGGGTAGGTGCTGATGGGGATTATCATCAGAGGGGAGTGTGCACCTCGTCGCAGCCCTCTCGGCCCGACGGGTGCGCAGGCGAGGGTCTCCCTTCCCCACCCCCGTCCCCTTGATACACCACAGCGTCGGCCGTAGCGCTGAAGTTCGTTGCCCGTTTATGCCGGCATACCAAGCAACCGGTTGGGCCGTGACCTCCTTGGGCTCCGTCCGGTCTGGCCTGCCCAGCTACAGCCGGCGACAGTCCTGGGTCCAGGTCTCGCACGGGAGGTCCCTGTCCCCGTGCTCTTCGCGGGGGGTTCTCTTTGGCCGATCAGAGAACCCATTGCTACACGTGGGATTCCTGATACTAGGTACCAAGCTCCCCCCCGCCACCACAGGTCAAAGATTGCAGCCAGGGCACTTATTCATCTCACCTCCCCTTCTCGCTGATAATCCTCCTCATCACCAGCATCCCCCTCATCCTTCTCCGTCTTCTTCGCCCTCCCTCCTCCTCTTCCTCGACCCACTTGGTGTTTCAGCCACCGCCCCCCCAGATTAGACTTGTTGGTAGACTATTTGGTCATCTGGTGACCTGACGTCATCCGTTCTTATCATGGTTCCCACCTCCTCCAGCGCCTTCCTCACCATCACCATTATCCTGCGCCTCCTCTGGCATGGCCGTCGCCATAAGCATCCTCATCTTCATCATCGCCATCATCATCCCAGGACCACAGCTCGGTCTAGAGGGAGTGGGACATCTATGGAGTCTGTGCCAGAGCGAAAAAAACTCGAAGTGTTGTGTTTTTAGTGTCGCTTTGGTGGAGTACCGCGATTCTTCGGGGGAAGCCTCTCGGGGGACGTGTACGGTCTTCGCCACCCGCAGCTCAGTTGTCCAGGCATGCGCAATCCGCTTCTGCACACTGGCTCGTGCCAGGGACTTCCAAAGGGAGAGAAAAAGAGAGAGAGAGAGAGACACACACAGAGAGAGAGAGAACAACAAGAGAGAGAGAGAGACAGAGAGAGAGTAGAGAGAGAAGAGAAGAGAAGCGAAGAGAAGAGAACAGAAGCGAAGATATGATAACATAAGATATGGAAAACCGAAAAGAAAAGAAGAGAAGGGAAGAGAAGAGAAGAGAGATCATCATCAGCAGCAGCATCATCAGCACCGTCACCATCATCATCACCATCCTGCTCCCCCCCCGTCCTCCAAGGAGGGGCGGGGAGAAGAACGAAGAAGGAGGAGGGGGAGGGGGTAAGGAGAAGGGCGCACAGACGCAGGGAAGACGGACGGAGGAGGATGGAGAAGGGGGAGGGAAGAAGAGCGAAGGACGACGAGCCCCATGGGCCCCAGGCGCACCCCGCCTCCTCCATCCTCCGCGTCCTCCTTACATATCCTCCGTCACCGTCCTCATCATCCTCACGTATCCCTCCTCCTCGTCCTCGGCATCCTCGCCCATCCCCCTTCCGCATCGCCATCATTTGCTCTGGCGGGCGTTCGCCCGGCAGGCCAAGCTGTCCGAGTGGTCCCGACGCTCCGAGCCTGCGCTGCGCGCGCCTGGCAGCCCCGATTCCGCGGAGAGCCGGCTGTGGAGCCACACCGAGGCGTCGCCAGACGCCGCCCCCCTCGGACGACCACGACGATGACGACGACTACGACGACGACGACGACGACGACGACGACGACGACGACGACGACGACGACGACGGCGGCGACGACGACGACGACGACGACGGCGGCGGCGGCGGCGGCGGCGGCGGCGACGACGGCGACAGCGACGGCAAGGACGACCATGACGACGGCGGCGGCGGCTACTTCCCCGAAGCAGGGGGCCCCCTGCGGTCAGAGAAGGTCGGCCGCGGACTAGGCGTTTGCGCGGGCAGCCCATCTGGTCGAACGGCGGATCTACTTTTAGCACCGAGAGACCGCTAGAGGGTGATCTGCTTCCAGCGGTCCAGACCGTCGCCCCAAGGGTCGTGCGAGAGGGGGGCGCAAGGGCTGTCCGCCCCATCTGCTTGCACACTTTGGCCTCAAGCGGTCGAGGCCGTCACCCTCGGGAGGTGGAGGAGGCATTCAGCCTTGGGCAACCGATCTGCATCAACAACGGTCCCTCCGACAGCTTCCCTGAGGATGGACTGGCATCCTCCGAATCGGGCGGCTCTGGATGATACCAAGATTTCCGATGGTGCATTCAAGTCCAGGAGTTTAGGGCTAAGTGGTTGTGACGGCGGCCTCCAGCGGTCCAGACCTTCACCCTCAGTGATGTGAGGAGACAAGATTTGTTCGCCCATCTGTTGACGTGGTTTTGTTTGGCCGTGCATCACTCGCCTTTTTTATTTGTTCTCTCTGACTCCCTCTCTCTGTCTCTCTTTCTCGCTCTCTCTTTCTTTTTTGTGGTTTGTTCTCTCTCTCTCTCTTTCTGTCTCTCTCTCTCTCTCTCTCTTCTCTCTGTTTCTCTCTTTTTTTCTCTCTCTCTCTCTCTCTCTCTCTCTCTCTCTCTATCTCTCAACACACAAATATGTACATGTAATTATATATATAGATACATATATCGGAGGTTGGGGGGTGAGTCCGACGTGAAACGGAGACCCCCCCTATCGGGAAATAGATTTCGGTTTCGGGTTCGTGTCGTGCGTGCCGTGCGTGCGTGCGGGCGAGGCGAAGCTGCGTGGGCGGGCGAGAAGAAATCCTCCTGTGGCTAGGCCGCGGCCAGACCAAATGTAACTCCTCTGGCGGCCGGAGCTGCGCGGTGTCCTGCCGGTGTCCCGCGGGTGTCCCGAAATTCTCCTGTGGCTGGGCCGCGGCCGGACCAAATGTTTCTCCTCCGGCGGCCCGTGCCGCGTGGTGTCCCGCCGGTGTCCCGTGGTGTTCCGTGGTGTCCCGTTGAGTGAGATCGATCGTGAGATCGATACTGAGATCGATACTGAGATCGATGTGGTGCCCCGAGGTGGCCCGTGGTGTCCCGTTGAGTGAGATCGATCGTGAGATCGATACTGAGATCGACGGGTGCCCCGTGGTGTCCCGTGGTGTCCCGTTGAGTGAGATCGATCGTGAGATCGATAGTGAGATCGATGTGGTGCCCCGAGGTGGCCCGTGGGGTCCCGCTGAGTGAGATCGATTGTGAGATCGATACTGAGATCGACGGGTGCCCCGTGGTGTCCCGTGGTGTCCCGTTGAGTGAGATCGACCGTGAGATCGATACTGAGATCGATGTGGTGCCCCGAGGTGGCCCGTGGGGTCCCGCTGAGTGAGATCGATCGTGAGATCGATAGTGAGATCGAGAGGTGTCCCGCGGTGTCCCGTGGTGTCCCGTGGTGTCCCGTTGAG